CGGGGCCAGCCACTCAGGCGAAGAGCACTTTCTCTTTCTCCCTTTTTTTTTCTTCCCTTTGCTACTGGAGATGGAACTCAGGCTTTGCACATCCAGGCAAGTGCGCTACCACGGAGCCACATCCCCAGCTTTCTTTGTTCTGTTTTTGAGTCAGGGCCTGCCTAAATTGCCCAGGCTGTCCTTGAACTTGAGATCCTCCTGCCTCAGCCTCCTTGGTAGCTAGATTTACAGGCCACTGCATCAGGCTCAAGGAGCTATTTTCAATGAGTTATGTTGGTTAACCAGGGTCCTTTTGAAATCAACGTTTTAAGTTGGAATAATGAATATTTATTTCATAACTTTTAGAAAGCCCATTTTTAACCACATAATCCCACTAAAAGAGATGACCACTGTTAATGTTCGAGATTGCTTCCATCTAGTTGTTGCTCTGTGTCTACATATTTTAACTGAGTCTGCATAATGAGGAGGTCTTCACTCTTAAGGAAGAGGCTTCAGTGCCTGACACCTCGGCAGCCCTGCCCTCTCCTGCATGCTCTCCGGGTCTCAGGTGCTTCTGCCAGATGACACAGCCCAAATCTCAATGTATGCTTCTCATAATGACAATGCCAGTTGACCCGGCTCCGGTGGGAGACACTGAGGAGGAAGCGGTTTCCACATATGATCCTTGGAGTCCTGGCAACTCCCACCCTTGTGCCAGAGTAACTGGGGAGGAAGCTGAGACTCAGATGTGGCCGCCTGTTGCTCTTCCTGAAGAACTCAGCCCTACACTCCCTTGGTGAGACCTGGAAAAGGAGTGTGCCCACAGATGGGCCTCGAGAGTGGGTGTCAGCACCCTGCTTCACCCCAAGCAGGGCAAAGAGGATGTTTGGATGAGGGCAGAAGGGATGCTCAGCAGCGGGGGAGGGGGACTCACTGTGGGGTGTCAGGCCCTGAGCCATAGGAGGAGGGCCCCTGGTGAGTGTGGGGGCTCAGAGCCCAAGCAAAGCCAGGTAGAGGCTGGGCAGGAAGTGGGGCGGCACCAGTGCCAGATCCCAAGAGGATGAGGTGCTGGAGCCCATCCTTTGGGGTGCTGTCTTACGGGGAGGAGTTCCAACCACCAGAAGTGCTTACACACAAGGAGCCATCGAAAGGGGCCACCTGCAGATCATGCCGGCCAGGTGGGAGAACAACAGAAAGGGAGGGAACCAGAATGAATCCTCCCACCCTTAATTAGAACTGGAGAAGCTCATTCTTTCCAATAGCACAGGTGGACAGAGAAATGACCGTCACTGCACAGGTGTAAACACAGGAGTGTATCTTCATGCATCTCCCTAGCTGCAGGTGCCAAGAGGAGCTGGAGATACCCAGCCGCAAGGACCCATCTACCAACCAAACCTCAGCTTCTAAGTCCATTTTCTACTAGAAAGAACCAGTCAATGCTCCTTGGACAAACAGCTGGGGTACGGAGAGAACGAGCTGTGTCTACTATAATGTCTCTCCTATTCTGACTCTTACAGTGTTCTTACAGTAAGTAAGCAAGTGTGCAAAGATTCATAAGGACATTTCCAAAGGGCATAGAGCCTGGTTAAAATGGTTCCACTGGCCATATCGGAGACAATTTCTTTTTCGTTTTTTCTTTTCTTTTTCTTTTTTTTTTTTTTGGTACCAGGGATTGATCTCAGGGGTGCTCAGCCACTAAGCCACATCCCAGCTCTATTTTGTATTTTATTAAGGACAGGGTCTCACAGAGTTGCTTAGTGCCTCACTTATTCTGCTGAGGCTGGCTCTGAACTCGTGATCCTCCTGCCTCAGCCTCCCAAGCCGCTGGGATTTCAGGCATGTGCCACCACCTGGCCACATTGGGGACAACTTTAATATCAAAACAAAACAAAAACCTGTAGGAAGTAATGGTCTACAACCTGTTGAATAAAATAAGGATTTGTGATTGCACCCAGAAGTAAATAAATAAACTGAAATTCCCCTGAGGAACAGACAACGCCAGTATTAGGAAGGAACCAGGGTGACTTCAGAGTGGAGGGACCTGGCAGACAGAACCTTAATCAAATGACAAAGCAAACCTCTCAGTAATGAGACCCACTCAAACACGTGTAATGTGAATCTAATCATGGGAAAACAGGCACAAGCAAACTGAGGGCCATTTCACAAAACAGCTGTGACGTCATGCTGAAAAGTGTCCACGTTACAAGTCAAGGAAGGGCTGGAGAAGAGGATATGAGAACACAGGCAAGGTGTGATCCCCGTCACTCCTTTGCACACTGGGACAAGTGTCGTCTCCAGCCTGAGGTGAGATACCCTCAGAAATCCACAGACTTCTGATTTTTTTTTTAAATTTTATTTATTTATTTATTTTGGTACTTGGGATTGAATTCAGGGGCATCAACCCCTGAGCCATATCCCAGCCCTATTTTGCATTTTATTTAGAGACTGGGTCTTGCTGTTGCTGAGGTAATCCTCCTGCCTCAGCCTCCTGAGCTGCTGGGATTACAGGCATGTGCCACCGTGCCCAGCCCTGACTTCTGAATTTTGATGGCTTTCTTGTGCACCTGCAGAAGTCCTTTTTTGTGGAAAATGTATGCTAAATAAAAGCACAAGGTCACAAGGCTGTATCAGGTCAGCAAGTTACTCTCAAAAGGCTCAGGGGAGGAAAAAGCATTTTTGTTTTACTTGATTGATTGATTGATTGAGCAATTGATTTAGTACTAGGAATGGCACTCAGGGCCTCACATTTTTAATGTAATTTATTTTATTAGGGGGGTTACAGGGGATTGAACTCAGGGGCACTTAACCACTGAACCTCATTCCCAGTCCGATTTTGCATTTTATTTAGAGACAGGATCTCACTGAGTTGCTTAAGCACCTGGTTTTTGCTGAGGCTGGCTTTGAACTCATGATCCTCCTGCCTCAGCCTCCCCAGCTGTTGTGATTACAGGCATGCACCACTGCACCTGGCATAAACTTTTCATTTTATTTTGAAACAGGGTCTTACTAGGTTGTCCAGGTTGGTCTTGAACTTTCAATCCACCTCAGCCTCCCCAGTAGCTGGAACTACAGGTGTGCACAGCCACACCTACCTCTCCTTGCAACATTTTTTTGTAAGTTTTAAACTGTTTCTTTTTTTAAAAAGAGTGGTGTCTATTATGGGTCTGGATATGAGGTGTCTCCTGAAAAGCTCACATGTTCATGCAGCAATGTTCAGAGGTGAAATGATTAGATTGTGAGAACTGTAACCTCCTCAGTGGATTAAACCATTTAATGGATTAATAGTTTGATGGATTACTGGGTGGTAACTGAAGGCAGGTGGGGCGTGGCTAGAGGCAGTAGGTCACTGGGAGCGTTCTTTAGGGGATTATATTTCGTGCTGAATCCTAGCTAGCTTCCTGACTGCCGTGAGTACCTTTCCTGGGCCACTCCCTTCCACCATGATGTTTGTCTCGGGCCCAGAGTGATGGAGTTGGCTGACCATGGAGTGAACCTCTGAAACTGTGAGCCCATAATAAGCTTTTCCTCCTCTAAGCTGTTTTTGTCAGGTATTTTGTTCTCAGCAACAAAAAACTGACAAACACAGGTCCAAGGCCAACTAACTAATAAGTAGTAGGACTCAAATCTAAGTCCAGAAACCAAGCTGTCCACCACTGGTGGGTAGTGTTCCTTCTTCCTGAAGACAATCTGCTCTGGCCTGGGCAGGTAGGCTGGGCGGGAGTCCTTGCAGGTGGTTTCCATGTCCTTCTGAAATGTCTCATCAATCATGGAGCATGTCCTTGCTCTAGAATAGCCTCAGCTCCTCTTGTCCTCTTCCTGCCCCACATGGTTCATCTTGGAGCAGAGTGAGGAAGACCCGGGCGCATCACAAAACACTACAGTAACAACGCCAGCAGAAGCACCCCCTGGATGGAATGGGTCAAACCAGCAGTGCCTCAAATTATTTGTGTCTAGACCTGACTTTCTCATCCTCCTTCAGTTGTCACATCCCTAGCACGGGCCATATATGTTGATTGTGGAAGTATGTAAGTAACGTCCACAGTAGTGTGTGCATAGCACATAGAAGACCTGAGTCACGTGCCTAACAGCCATCTGCACATGGCAGGGAATGTGTTCCTCGGAGCAAGGAAGCAGCCTCATTCTGGCCCTGAGGGACTGTGGGAAAGGACAACAAGGTACCATTTAAAGGGCAGGAGGACCCCCAAAGTCCACACCACATGAAGGCTGTTAGTCATGAACTTGAGTCCACTATGGTTGCTCAGGCTTCCCAGCAGGGATGGGAGAAAAATAATGGCCAGACCCTTTCCTGCCATGGTTGGCAGACCACAGAGCAGGTGGACGGTATGTGCTGATGAGTGTTTTCACCTGGGGAAACCCTGGAGTCCATGAGCCGTTCAATCAGCCAACACAGAAACTACTATGCTCTCTGCTTCCTCAGCTGGGGAAAGAGAAATTCCTGGCACTGTGCAGTATCACAGCCTCCTGGGCTCCTCCAGAGGCCACTTCAGAGGTAGCTAAACAGTTTGGTGAGGCTGCTGGGAAAGATGGTGTGTCTTCCCATAGAGGCTCAAGACGAGGAGCCAGGAGCTCCGCGGAGCTCAGAAGACTGCAGCAGTGTGGGAGGGGCTAGGCACCTCTGTGGCACCTAATACTTTAACTTTCTAATTATGAGGTGTTACAAAACAGATAATGCTTCCCTTTTCTTCCTGAAAAGTGTCAAGTAACCATTTTGCATTTTGTGATATTATGATGTATAATAAGAAATATATCCTTTATCCACATTCCTGGCAGAGAGCTCCTAAAATGCTTGGAATTTCTTAAGTTGCTTCAGCTGTAGTTCATGCTAACGAGATGACACTTGGAGGATGAGGCTGGTGCCCTGAGCTAGCTGTGTGATTAGAGGACTGGCTTCCAGCCCCACCCTTGGTCGTGGGTAGGAGGGAAGAGCTGCTGAAGAAGCTCAGTCTCAGGTGGTCAACGATTTCATGAATCATGCCTAAGTAATGAGACCTCCCCAAAGCATGGGGTTCCTGCAGCTCCGGGTTGCCGAACACAAGGAGGTGCTGGCAGGGTGGCACCCAGAAAGTATGGCACCCCTTCCCAACCTCACCACATGTGTCTCTTCCACATGACTGTTCAGGAGTTGTAGCCTTTAAAATACATGGGCAAATCAAGTGTTTCCCCAAGCTGGGGGTGTAGCTCAGTGGTAACGCATGCTTTGCATGTGTGATGCCCTGGGTTTGAGCTCAGCATTGGAAAACACCAAAGTGCTTCCCTGAATTTTGTTGGGGCCTTAGGACCTGAGATTTGTAGCCTGTTTGTCAGAAGCACAGGTCAGAACTTGAACTTGTGACTGGTGTCTGAAGCAGGGCAGTCTGGTAAGACCAAGCCCTTGACTTGCGGATCTGCGGCAACTTCAGGTAGTGTCAGAACTGAGCTGAATCTGAAACTGAGCTGGAGAGCCAGCCTTTGCAGGAGAAAACCCACACATGGTATCAGCAGAGAACTGACAGCAGCTGAGAGCAGAGGGAAACTGTATATATATTTAATATTTTTAGTTGCAGATGGACACAATACCTTTATTGTATTTATTTTTATGTGGTGCTGAGGATCAAACCCAGTGCCTCACACATTGTGCAAGAGCTCTTCCACTGAGCTCCAACATACCTCTCTTGATGAAGTAGTTTTGGTTCAAAGACCAGCCACGAGAACCACATGCCTTGTTACAGTATGACTCTTTTACTCCTTCTGTAAATCAATAGGCTGCATCCTTGCTGGCCTGTGGCTTGCTTGAATCTACAGAATACAGCAGAAATGACCCTGTGACTCCTGAGCCTTAGCAATAAAAGGCCTTATGATATTGGGTTTTTTCCCTACTTGGAACCCAGCAGCAAGACTGTGGGAAGTGGCCTGACCTACAAAAGGACTGAGAGGCTCTGGGGGCTCTATCTGAGGACCAGCACCCACTTCCAAGCATGGGATTGAGGCCCTGTTGGCCTCCGCTTCAGAGGTCCCATCTGGAAAGGACATGCCACAAAGCCATACACCCAAGTCCAGCCCAGAAAGAGTTTTGTGAGCAAATAATTAGTTGTGGTTTGGGGGATGGGAGTTGCTAGGCTGGGAAGATAACTAAAACACCTGCTAAAGACAGCCCCTTTTCCTAGCTGCCTCTGGGGTTATAGACAACTAGAGGCTCCACCCCTTTTCTGCATCTTATCAAGACCCTGTCAGTCTGGTTTGGCAGGGCCCAGGGCCCTGGGCCCCAGGAAAAGGGGGGAGATCAATGGCCATCTCAGGAAGAGAGTGGGGAAGAAGTAAATGAATTGAGCCTATCTCAGCTACACCCCTAAGTATTGGGTGAGCACCAGAAATCATTCAATGTTGTTTTAGGTGCTGTAAGAATACAAAGAGATCTCAGAGTGTCTCTGCCATCAGGAGGTTCCAGATCATAGGTAATTCAAGATCATAGATAAGTGTGTGGAATGACTGTGGATGGTCTAGAAAGCCACATTTGTAGTCACCCTGCAGCCCAGTCCTGACTATTCCATCTGTCAGGCTACCTGCTAAATCACAGTTCTACCTTTTCTCACCTGCCACCAGTCTCTGATGCATTTAGAGCCTTGCTACACTCTGCCCAGGAGGGGGAACCCTGAAGGTCACCAAGTCTCCCTCAGGGAAGAGCTGACCACATCTCTCAGGCCTTCCTCCCGCCCTCCCTTTGGACCTCCCTGACAGGTTGCCTTCTGGCTCCTCTCTGTTGTTTGGCAGGTTTGTGGGGGCGACACTCATTCCATTCCTTAGAAATGACAGTTCATGCATCCTCCAACTGCGTTGGGAGGGGCTATTTAAGATTACATACCCTAAGGAAAGTAAAACAGCCAGTGTCCTAGCTCTCTATTTACATAGGAAGAAGTGAGGCAGGACCGTGACCAGGATATTCTCCACACTTCAGTGACTCAGCCAGGTCAGAATTCCACCAAGCCCAATTCACGTGCTGTGAGGTGGACTTGGGGGCTGGCCAGGGCCAGCAGTTTTGCCTGAAGCTCTGAAGTGGGTGCTGCCTGCTTCTTAGGCCCTGATACAATTTGGCCACTAAAGTTGAGAGCAGCAAGACTTGCAAATTCAGCAATTCTGACTGAGGATGGTTCTATCTCCTACAAAGGACCAGCCACCAAAGGCGCGCTGGTCCGTTCTGATACAATTGAGATTAGTAAATCCTCTCTGCTGGATAACGGATCCCTAACAAAGAATCGACAAGTTGAAACCCAGTCGCACGGCACATCGAGCCTGGAAAAGGCTGAGCACCGGAGGCTGGAGGCAGCTATGCCAGTGTGTGCTCCGCTGGACTCCGACCACAAGTTCCCGGGGCTCCCTCCCGACGCCCCACCCCTCGGCCGCGCGGCTCCTGCACCTGAGGGAGCTCAGTGGGGCTGGTGTGGGGGCGGGGGAAGGACCGAAATACCCCGAAATGCGCTGTGACCCGTAACCTGGGAGCGGCGACCAGCCCGGAGCCCAGGCTGGGGCGGCTGGAAACCCTCCTCGGCGCGGAGAGCTCTCGGCCCTTTCCGACACCGTCCCCCGAGCTGGGGCTACCTCGTCTTCTCTGAGGACAGGAATCTTCATCAGGGACATCCGTCTCCGCCCCAGCCCCTCCCGCCCGCCGCCCGTCTCCCCCGGTCCTACTCAGCGGCCCAGCCTTCCTCCCCACCCTGCCCTCTTCCCTTCTCCTCGGTCCCCTCTCCTCTGCACCCCGCCCCTTTCTCGCTCCCGCCAGGACCCTGCCCCCCGTGCGGCTCCTCTGTCTCGGGTCCCACCCCTTTCCCCTCCCCCGTCCCGGCCCCGAGGCCCCTGGAGCCGCGCGTCACCGCTGGTCCCACCTCTCACGCAGCCAATGGGGCCTCTCGGCAGCGCCCGACTGCCTCCTAGGAGCCCTGCGCCCCAGAGCAGGATCGAGACCCGAGTGGGTGGTGACCGCGCAAGGACGATTCCGGGAGCCCAATGGAAGACGGGGGGCGGGGACCCACATAAATCACCTCTCGGAAATCGGCCAGGTGGACACCACTCACGTGTGTAGCCCTTTACAATGTACAATGAGCTTTCCTAGAAGTGACCTCACTTCTAGGGGGGCACAAACCACCCCGGGATCACACGGTGTATACAGCTAGAAACAGCATATGGTGCCCCAGAAATAGGTGCGATTTTTAATATTTTTTTTAAAGCCAATGAGGCGTGATTTTAAGGGGGTTTTGTTTTCTGAGACGCTGGGGATGAGACCCAGGGCTCTGGCTCCACAAGCTCTCGGTTACCAGACTACGTCTCCAGCCGAGGGCTGATGTCACTACCCGCTTTTCACAGTCGAGGAGAGCGAGGCGAGAGAAAGGACCCGCCCAAGGTCCCCGGCTGCGCTGGGTCGCGGGGTCGTCGGCCCCCAGTCCAGCTGGACTCCACGGCGCTCGCCCTCCGAGGCCGAGAGCGGGGTGCGGCGTCGGTGGTGGTTCCCGCCCGCGCGCTTCGGACCCGCCGGCCTGCACCCGGGACAGTTCCGAGGTGCGGGAAGGGAAGACCGCGAGGGCGCAGGCGTGGGGGCGGGGCTTAGGGAAGGACGCGGAGGCCGATGGAGACCGTCGCTGGGAGAGGATCCAAGAGGTCACCTTGGACCTTCACCTTCCGTGGCCAGCCTGGCTGAGAAAGGAGAGGAGGGGGGTCTGCGCTTCTAAAAGAAAGCCAAGCGTTAAAACAGCCGCGGAGCCGGGATGGGCCGGCTGGACCCCGGGCGGGCACCTAGGAGCACCGAGCTCCGGGCATCGTGCTGCCCCAAGTCAGCCTCGGCCCGCTGCGGGACACACCCCAAACAAAGGGACTGCAAAAACGAGTCCGCTTCCCGAGGCTGCCCCGCCCTGCTCACTGGGCTCCTGCAGCTCCGGAGCCCCAAGCCCTCGCTTGGGCCACCAAGGGTCTCCGCGTCTGTCACAGTCTTTTATCTGCAGAGCCCCCACCTCCTTGGGTTCTCTACTCGGCGGCCCCTTCCCAGGGAGGCCGTCCTTCACGGTAGGTTTTTAAGTAGCAGACGCATCTGGGTCCAGCTTCCCGGCAGGCTGCGGGCAGGAGTTGGAAGCCAGTGTTGAGAGCCACAGCCAAAGCGGCCTCAGCAAACTTCCAGCTGATTGGCTCACCACAGCCCCAGCAAACTTCCAGCTGATTGGCTCCTCTAGTGATACTCATTGGGCTGTTTCCCGCCCTTTCAGACCACGGAGCTGCTCATTGGGGGACTCTTTTGGCTCCGCCCATGTGACCCAGCCAATCGGCCTCAAGAGCGGGAGGCGTGGACGTTGAGAGGCTTGGTGGAAGCCGGTGCTGGCAGTTGGACTCTGAGGGAATTCCTGAAGAGCTCCTGTGGTGCTGCATGTGTGTTTTGAAAATAAAGTTCAATTCTTCTTGATAAGTGGCTGGTGAATTGTGCCCAGCCAGGCTGCGGCATTTGGTGGCCCATATGGGGAACGACTGAGAGTAAGTGATAAGGTAAACTGCTGGCCCCTGAGGGCAGGGCCAGAGGATGGGTAGCCATTTTAAGATTCTTCTTTCATTTTGTTTCGCTTTTGTTTTAAGTTGCCTGTCCCTGGAGATGAGTGAAACGGAAGAAAAACCGCTCACATCTGAGGAAAAACTATTTGCGTCTGAGGAACAGATAGGGAGAAAGGACCAATGGACATTTCAGGAGGATAGAAAGGCTGATATAATGAATTTTTGTTCCATTTTTGTTTCATTCTGTCTTGGCTTTGGTGTCATCTTGTTGGGTTGTATTATAAGTAGAAATATGGGATCAGAAATTAGTAAAAAACAAACCAAGAGAGTGTTAAGTAAATTGTTAGAGGAAGGAGGCATCCCAGTAAAATCAAGAGCAGTCAGGGCATACGTTGATACAATACAAAAATATAGCCCATGGCTTTTTAAGGAGGAGTTGTTAAATATATCACAATGGGACCATCATGGTGAAGATTTAAGGGAGAGAGAAGAGAAAACCCAGGAACTCTGCCAGTTGGCACATTGCCATTGTGGATGGTGATACGATTTTGTTTGCCTAGTCCAAAGCCTTCAGTTCAGACTCTGGTAGAAGACATGTTAGATCAAGTAAAAGAGAAGTTCTCTCGACAGAGGAAGAAAATTTAAAGGAGGAAAAGCCATCAGGGGAGAAGTTACAACAGGAGGCTGCTTCTAACACCTTTCTATCACCAGAGGGTGTAAGTGTCCAACCAACAGCTCCACCTCCATATGCTGGGAGGCCCTCAACCCCCATAGTTGATAGATGGGATCCTGAAACAGGACCTCAAAGATCAGCGTGCCCTGTATTTGAACAGGCAGAAGGGCAGCGAATTCACCATGTTTTAGATTTCAAAACAGTGAAGCAGCTAAAAGAGACTGTAACAACCTATGGTCCTCAAGCACCCTTCACTGTAAACATGGTCGAATCCATTACCAATTCGAGCATGACACCAGCAGATTGGACTAGTATGTGTAAAGCTGTGCTAAATGGAGGACAATAACTGTTATGGAAGGTTGCCAATGAGGAATTTTGCACGGAGACGGCTAGGCGATATGCAGCAGCCGGTTATCCTCAGAGAAATCTAAATATGTTGTTAGGAAAGGGACCTTATGAGGGTCAGCAGCAACAAATTGCATATGATCCTGCCATAAACTCACAAATTGCTGTAGATGGGGTTAGAGCATGGAAGACTTTACAAGGACATGGAGGTTTACAAGGTCAATTATCTAAGGTAATACAAGGAGTTAATGAACCTTATGCTGAATTTGTAGATAGGCTTATTCAAACAGCTACCAGAGTTTTGGGGAATACAGAACAAGCAATGCCATTAATAAAACAACTGGCTTATGAGCAAGCAAATCGTTGGTGCAGAGAGGTCATTAGACCATGGAAACATGAAGATTTAAACACATATATTAAATTATGTAGAGACATTAATGAACAAGGGCAAGTCTTGGCAGCTGCAGTACAACAGGCTTTAGATGCCAGGCCAAAAACATGCTACAATTGTAAACAAACAGGACATTTTAAAAGGAATTGCCCCATAGAAGGAGGGTTTAACAAAACTAGGTATCAAAGGAGTAGAATACTGTGTGACCTTTTTACCACAAGTTAATCTTGGAGTCAATCCTAGAGGACTGATACCTAACCATATTTGGCAGATGGACATCACACACTTGCCAGAATTTGGAAAATTAAAATATTTGCATGTTACAGTTAATACTTCTTCCGGATTTTTGATGGGCTCCCTTCATACTGGAGAAAAAATTAAAGATATTATAGCTCATTGCTTACAAAATTTTGCCACTGTAGGCATTCCAAAACAGTTAAAAACAGGTAATGGTCCTGGCTATACTTCTACCTCTTTGAAACAATTTTGCTCATCATTTGGCATTACTCATATAACAGGAATCCCATACAATCCACAGGGACAAGGCATAGTTGAAAGAGCTCATCAAACTATTAAAATGTACTTATTAAAGCAAAAAGAGGGAATTGGGAAGGGGTATATATCCCCCAAAGATAAACTTAAAATAACCCTTTTTACTCTAAACTTTTAAAATTTGGATTCATCAGGGCTTAGTGCTGCAGAAAGGCATATGTGTCCAAAAAATGTACATAAGCCCAAGGTACTTTGGAAGGATATTCTAATAGGACAATGGAAAGGTCCTGACCCAGTGATTGTCTGGAGTCAGGGGTCTGTTTGTGTGTTTCCACAGGGAGAACAGCAGCTGATTTGGATTCCAGAGAGATTAACTAAGGTCCTGACCCAGTGATTGTCTGGAGTCGGGGGTCTGTTTGTGTGTTTCCACAGGGAGAACAGCAGCCGATTTGGATTCCAGAGAGATTAACTAAAGCGATTTCTATAGACCAAAAAGAAGATGATTTGGCTCAAATCCATAACAGCTGATATCCAGAATTCCAGTTTGGCTCTCCTTACATCTGCGACAGTGGTTCTCCCACACCTGGAGGCTAATGAAACCAGGATTTTTTTTTTCAATATATTTTATTATTGCCCTTTCCCACATCATGAAGTTTTATTTTATTTTTTGAGCTCATACAGACTTAGGTTAATGTTTTGCTGATCAGTTCTATTTTTTGACTATAGAGTTTTTAAACATTGCAATGGAGATTTCACCTGTAAAAAGTTACAAGGCCTTTATTTTTATGTTATGTGTTGTATGTATTATATTATGTGTGCACACTTGTGTTTTGTGTTGTATGTTTGTATGTGCATATGTCCATATATCATATATGATGAGTGCTCATGAAAAAATGGATCCAATTTTTTTTCTTATTCACGTGATTTAAATGGTTTAATTTAAATTGGGTAAACAGCTGTTGAGGATTGTTTTAATATGTGAACAAAAAAGGAGATTAACAAATCTGTTTGTTTACTTTCACCTTTCCTTTTCATTATATTTAATAATTCTGTTCAGGATAATGTAAATTGTTCAGAAAATTGTTTTCTTTTAGTGCCTGCTGGAATGTTACATAATTTTTTCTTTAGCCATTATTGCCAGAATTCCTATCTTCATCCCAGTGCCAGTGAAGACAAAGATAAAACCAAACTACAGCTTCTGCAATAGCTATCACTGAACTGCTTGCAGAACTTGCCTGGACTATGTATCACTTGTATGCATTGTGAACTATCTGTTGGTGCAGTGACTTGTGGTAGTGCTGGGGTATTTTTGCTGATGGTATCATCGGTGGCACAATTTTTCCAAAAGGAGCCGTCAATTGGCTTAGTGTATCCTCCTCCCTTCTGCTTGTGATGGTCGTTCAGCTAAAATTTGGGGGCCAACAGAGGTGAGGCAAAGAACCTCACTCCCCCACTAGTACAAAGGCCTATCCACAGGTGTGGCTGTATGCTGGACCAGTAGTCAATGACGGGTAAGATCCAATTACAATGGTACCAACCTAAGATAGGAGGCTGATGCCTTGAGGTCAGCTCATCCAATGACGGGTAAGAACCATATGTAGTATTGGACAACCTAAGGCAGGCACGGTCCCTAAGCCACATGCTTGTTGTTTAATTAAACAGAGAGGGGGAGATGTTGAGAGCCACAGCCGAAGCGGCCCCAGCAAACTTCCAGCTGATTGGCTCACCAAGGCCCCAGCAAACTTCCAGCTGATTGGCTCCTCTGTGGTGATGCTCATTGGGCTGTTTCCCTACCCTTTCAGACCACGGAGCTGCTCATTGGGGGACTCTTTTGGCTCCACCCATGCGACCCAGCCAATCGGCCTCAAGAGCAGGAGGAGTGGGGATTGAGAGCCTTGGTGGAAGCCGGTGGTGGCAGTTGGGCTCTGAGGGAATTCCTGAAGAGCTCCTGTGGTGCTGCATGTGTGTTCTAAAAATAAAGTTCATTTCTGCTTGACAAGTGGCTTGTGAATTGTGCCCAGCCAGGCTGCGGCAAGCCGGTTAGCAATTTCGCTAGACCCTGTCTTAAAAAATAAGGGCGGAGGGGTGTACGGTAGTCGTTGGTAGAGCGCTTCCCTCTGCCTGGGTTTAATCCCCAGTCCCCCCACCCACCCCAAGTCACAGCCAAATTCATGCCTTCCCCGCATTAGCCCCTTTGCCTTTTCTCTTCAGCATTTGGCACAAATTCGATCGTGTCACCTGGGACACAGGGGTGAATTTGGTTGGCTCAGAATGAGGCTCATGTTTCCACGTTTCTGTTCCAAGTTTCTGTTATACTCCTGCTGAGCATCTGCCTGTGTACCTGTGGAGGGCATTGCAAATAGGGGTTAACATGCACATTGTATTTATGATTATATATATACACGTGTATAATATATGTGTATGGTGTGTGTCACATACATACAACATAAAATACTATATTTTTCATAGTATCTTATTTTACTTTCTCCCCGAACTAGAATGTGAGTACAACCAGGGTAGAGATTTAGTCCATTTTGTTTGCTCTCACCCTGGGCACAGGGGACAGGATATGGCATATAGTAGGGGAACAATGTTATTTATGAATGAAGGAAGAAATGAATGAAAACAAACATCTGTTTTGAGTCTCTGATTTTAATTCTTTTGGACATATACCCCAAAGTGAAATTGTTGGAGATTCTGTGTTTGATTTTTTGAAGAATCCCCATACTGTCTTACGATCCCACCAGCAATGAACAACACATGAGATTTTTATTTTATTTTTTTAAATCCAGGGGTGCTTTACCACTGAGCTACATCACAAGTTCCTTTTATTTTTTTAATTTATTTTGAGACAAGATCTCACTAAGCCGCTGAGGGTCTCTGAGCTGGCCTTAAACTTATTGTCCTCCTGCCTCAGCCTCCCAGGTAGCTGGCATTGTAGGCGGGCACCTCCATGCCTGGCAGTGTGCTAGATTTCTAATTTCTCACTTACACTTGTTATTTTGTCTGTTGATGAGAAAGGTCCTAATGGGTGTTAAATGGGCTATCATTGTGGTTTGATATTGCACCTCCAGAGCGTTGCGTGGCATGAAGCATTTTTTTCATGAACTTGTTGGCCATTGTGTGTCTTCTTTGAAGAAATATCTGTTCAAATCCTTAGTCTATATTTGCATTGGGTTTTTTGGGTTTTGATGGTTGAGTCATTTTAGAAATTAACCCCTTACTAGACACACAATTTGCAAGTTCTCTTCTCTCATTCTGTTTGACTCACAAAAGCTTTTGATTCTGATGAAGCAAATTTTTATTTTTTTTCTTTTTTCATTTATGCTTTCAGGATCATATCCAAGAAATTATTGCCAAATCCATGCCTTTTTTTCCATTAAAACAATGGTTTTATAACTTTAGGAACCCTGTATGTGTTGAGCATTCCTAATCTGAAAATCTGAAACACTGCAAAATCTGAAACTTGTTGAGTGCTGCTGTGAAGTGGAAAATTTCACACCTGATCTCATGTGATGGGCCACAGTCAAAATGCATTATGGGAAGCTTGAGAGTTTCCAAAATTAGGATAATTCCTATCTCCCTGACTACCTCTGGTCAATGAATTACCTGACTTGTGTAAGTAGGAATACCCTCTATTGGAGTACTTCTATTCAATGCTACATAAAAAGGAAATGGTAGTGCATGTCTATAATCTTAGAAATTTGGGAGGCTGAGTTAGGAGGTAAGAAAGTTCTGGGCCAGCCTTAACAATTTAAGGAAGCCCTCCCTCAAAATAGAGAAAAATAAAAAGGGCTGAGAATGGAACTCAGTGGTACAGCATCCCTGGGTTTAATTCCCAGTACTGCAAAATATAAAGACGTGAGGGATGATGAAGCTCCAATAATGAATGTGGTCCTTCCCTTTTAGAGTCTAGATTGATCTGTCAATAATTCAAAGGTGGCTACAGTGGCCAAAGCAAGTAAACTCATCCAGCCCACAGCAGCCACTAAAGTTCCAATCAAGAGGACCTAGTGAGGGGCTAGGGTGGTGGCTCAGTGGCAGAGCGCTTGCCTAGCATGCTGGAGGCACTAGGTTCGATCCTCAGCACCACACAGAAATAAAATAAAGATATCATTTTTATTAAGCATCCCACTTAAAACTAAAAAATTATTAAAAAAAAAAAAAAGACCTAGAGAAAAATCGTGCCTGTAAAACACTGACCAGGCACAGCCATCAGATTCTCTGGCAGAGTGGTCCATAGTTGAGTGCTTGAGCCACCAATATGCACTGGATTCCTGGCTGTGCCCCCATGTGGCCCTGCCTCAGTGTCCTCATTTGTCAAATCAGGGGCTGCATGTTATTATGTGCAGTAACACAAAAAAATAACCTAGAACAGGGTCTGGCACATGGTGAGGGTTTAATAAAACAAACTGACTTGTTATCATAGTAAGTAATGGCTTGGGCACTTGGGTCTCCACCACTAAATTGTATAAATCTGAGCAAAACACTCAACCACTCCAACTCCTTGAACACTACGTTTGGTAGTATGCCCCCTGAAGTCCTCTCCAGATGAAAACTGAACTAATGACTTACTAAACATCAACTTTGAGCTCTGCCCAGTGCCAGGTCCTGTACTGTAATTGTAACCAGCACACATTCCTCATTTATGCAAAAGATTTATTTATACCTATCAGTCAAAAGACAATGGTTTAAACAAACACATAAGTCAGGGGTATTGCTCATCTGAGAGAGAGAAACAGTAAAGACATGCTGTGGTTTGTCCCCCAAAGTTCATGTAGAAACTTGGTTCCCGATGTCTTGAGAGGTGGTGGATCTTTAGGAGGTGGGAACTATGGGAGGTTGTTAGGTCAGGGAGACGCCATTTTCAGAAGGGATTTAGTGAATCCAATAGCACTGGGTTACTTCCTGCCAGAATGTGTTGTTATCAAGCAAGCTGGGCTTCCTTACTTCCCCTCTTGCTTCTTTGTTCCCGCATGTGCCCCTTCAGCACACATCCTGGTTGTGATGCGGCCAGGTGGGGCACCATGCTGACTGGACTTTCCAGCCACTGGAACTGTGATCCAGATATACCTTTTTCCTTTATACATTATCCAGAGTCAGGTATTTTGTTACAGCAACACAAAGCAGAATAACACAGGATAAAACTTGGAACATCTCAACATGTTTCATTGTTTTATGGTTTCTGTCTCCTTCCAGTGAGTTTAAGTCCTTACCAGGGATCAATTCTTGCCATCTAGTTGGTACAAGGCAGCCAAGCATTCACAGTTGATCTTTTGTTTTTGTAAAAAAAAAAAAAAAAAAAAAAAGGAGTTTTAGGTGGTTGAAGGAACAGAAGCCAAGCCTATGGCTTAGCATGAGTTGGCTCTTCCTTGGGATCTGACTCCACTGCTAACTAGTTCCATCTTAAGCATGCTGAGTTTGAAGGACTGTGAGACATCCTCCTGGACAAGTCCAAAGAGGCAGTAAGCATGTGGAATCATCTACAGAAGGTCAGAACTGGAAGCCAAAACCTACAATAGAGATGTGACTGCCTGAGTAGGACATTAAGGCCACCCAGGACCCACCTCATCATGACTGCTGGAGTCCTTGAGTTACAGCAATTAAGGCGGAAGTCACTGGCTGCCCAAGCATGGAGCAGCAGCTACAGGCTTCACGGCGTCCCACAGTCATGAAAGTGGGGCACTGTCCCTAGATGAGGCCGATTCTGAGAAAGGCCGAAATATTACACTACAGTATGTTGGTTCTGCAGAAGCCCTTCCACACCAGGTTCCCGCTTTCCCCCATGTAGCCGCTTAGTGGGGGGGGGGGGGTTGAAAATGAGGCAAATTAGGACTTCATCCCATGTGTTGAAAAACCCTTTCCCCGTCTGTCATTTATCTTTCATAGTGTTTTTTTATACCAGTTTTTCAGCAGTCACATTTAAGTCATCAAGTACTTTCCTTAGGATTTTTGAGATTTTAACCACTGAGTCCCCAGTGTTCAACAGAGACCCTTTTTCTTGGCTCTTTGTGAATCGATTCTGAGGACCACACAAGATCCAGAACTCCCAATGGCCAGATGGGACCTGCATATCTTGGCAGAGGGTTCTGGCTCCTGCAGTGGCCAGTCCATGGTTTGCTGCCTTCACTGATGATTGTTGTTGAATTCAGTGTTGTTTTCATCTTAGGGATATTGCTGAGGATGCAGGATTTATAGGACATCGTGTCCTTTTTAAAAAACACCTCTCAGGGCGAGCATGGTGGTGCACTCCTGTAATCCCAGCGGCTCGGGAGGCTGAGGCAGGAGGATTGTGAGTTCAAAGTCAGCCTCAGCAATGGAGAGGTGCTAAGCAACTGAGACTCTGTCTCTAAACAAAATACAAAATACGGCTGCAGATGTGGCTCAGAGGTCGAGTCCCCCTGAGTTCAATCCCTGGTGCCCCTTCCTCCCCCCCACAAAAAAACACCTCTCAGGAGAAAAATAATCTTTCCAGTATCACTAATCATGAATCAAAATATGCAATTGGCTTTTTTCTTTTGGACTGTGTGAGTGTATTGGGGTGCATGTCTCCTTCACACTGGAAACTCAAGATTCTCAGAACAATATTTTTTCTCTTCCTTTAACAAAAAGTGCATCTGCATAAAGTTTGTGTTAAAGGAATTAATGTTTGGTCCGACTTTCCCTTTCTTCTACACTATTTTCTTTTTCAATTTATCTTTTAATTTTGTTTCTATCCCTCTCCCCCCCCCCTTTTTTGGTTTCTATCTTTTAATCTTGTACCCATTTTTAACACAGCATGTCAAGTCACTTTGGGAGGGAGTGGGAAAGAAAATGAATGAGGGAGAATGGAAGAGAGAGGGAGAGAGGGAGGGAAGGTGATACCTATGGAAACGTGTACTGAGCAATTACTAAGTTAGATTAACTCCGTCATGGGTATAGGTAGAGGTACCCAGAAGCATTTACATCTTCATTTACTTTATCAAAAAACAGTTCCCCACAGTATCTCCAACACATCTGCTGTGAAAGTGGATTTCAAAATAGAGAACCCCCCACAGCCCAGCACCCCCCTACTGTGAACAAACTCAGCTGTGCCCAGTTGGCTGATACTCACCCCTGCTCCCTCATCTCTCGATTTATTCCAGCTTACATTTGTTATTAAGTGTCTGATGCCTGCAAGCCCTGTTTATTTTTTTATTTTTTGCATTGCTGGGGATGGAACCCAGGGCCTGCTGGCCTGCCAGACAAGTGCGCTGTCACTGAGCTATGCCCCCAGCCCAGCCCCAACTCTCTTGGGTGCATATTTCTTTTATTCTCTCACTAGGAAGAGACTGAGACCCAGAGAAGTTACACGATCACTCACAAAATTCCAACAGGTGACACCAGGCATGGCGACGCACACCTGTAATCCCAGCAGCTCACGAGGCTGAGACAGAAAATCGTGAGTTCGAATCCAGCCTCAGCAAAAGCAAGGTGCTAAGCAACTCAGTGAGACCTCGTTTCTAAATAAAATACAAAATAGGGCTGGGGATGTGGCTCAGGTGAGTGGCAGAGCCCATCAGATTCCCTGTCTCCATCACATTGCGAGTTCTTCATCCCCAAAGCATTCTGACTGTATCCTCAG